AGGAAGGGGAAACACTAGCAGAAACTCTTAATAACAACACTACCATAACTTCTTTGAGGATTAGTAATAATAATATTAGATTTCAAGGTGGAAAAGCATTAGCAAAAGCTCTTTGTAATAACAACACTTTAACTAATTTGGATATTGCGTCTAATAATATTGGCCTTGAAGGAGTAAAGGCTTTAGCAGAAGCGCTTTGCAAAAACACTACATTGACTTCTTTAAATATTTATCGTAATATTCATATATCTATGGGTGTGAAGGTATTACTCAAAGCTCTTTCTAAAAATAACGCTTTAACTTCTTTAAATATTGGGCATAATACGATCGATTTTGAAGAAATAAAAGTACTGGCAGAGGTTCTTTGCATAAATACTACTTTAACTTCCTTAAATATTTCATTTATTCGACTTGGTTCTGAGAATGGGAAAGTGATAGCAGAAGCTCTTCGCGCAAATATTGTTCTAACTCATTTAAAGATCAATAATAATCAACTTGGTTCTGAAGGAGTGAAAGCAATAGCAGAGGTTCTTCATAGCAACTTCACTTTAAAGACTTTATTTATCGGTGGTAATAATGCTGGTCTTGAAGGAGTAAAAGCGTTAGCAAATGCTCTTTATATAAACACGACTTTGACTTGCTTAGATATTCGCGGTAATAAGATTAATTTTGAAGGAGGAAAAGTACTAGCAAGGGCTCTTTGCATAAATAATACTCTTACTTCTTTAGATATTAGTAATAATAAAATTGAATTTAATGGAGGAATGGCATTAGCAGAAGCTCTTCGTATAAACACTACCCTAACATCCTTAGATCTTTCTTATAATAATCTTAATTTTGAAATCGGAAAAATCTTAGTGGAGGCTCTTTATAAAAATCGTACGTTAGACTACTTAAATCTTCTTGGAAATCGAATTGGTTTCAACAATTGCAAAAATATAAAAAGCGTAAGTGTATTAAAAAAATTTTTCCTATAAACATTACATGAACATATTTATTATGAGATTATTTGTTCGTAAAGTACTACAAAGGATGGTATATTCTTCATTTTTTCTTTTTTTCTAGCATAATTTAGTTTTAAATGAGTAATGTTTATTGAAATCGTAATTTATTAATAAATGAAGCAGGTGATTATAAACATTACAGTAAAAAAAACCGATAATTTAAGTTGATGTTTTGAATAATAAAATTTTATTTATGAGCTATATAATCTTCCAACTTTTGAATTGTTGTTAAATATTTCTTAGTTTTTATTAAAAAAATAAATATATGGAACATAAATAAAAGTAATATTATTGAGTATATTGAATATTCGAAGCGTCAAAACAAGTACTTAGGCAGAACATAGTGCAATTCTTGTTAATAAAAAACTTTATTTTCAAATTATCTGGGATCACTGATATGACGGATACATTATAATAGTCACTAAAATAAATTTAATGCCTTGGAAGATTTATAAAACTGGAGCGATATCTTATGCTAATGAGATTGCAATTCTTTATATTGGTGAATCCTATGCTGGAAATCTTGTTAGTAAATATGATACAGTATTGGGCAATGGAGTGAACTAAATACTTATGGGTCAATACATACTTCCGGATTGATAGAAATGAAGAGATTAAATTTGTTCAAGGTGTAATTTTGGGATATTGTGTTTATAAAATGAACATATTAGATTCTTTACAATTACTGTATATCATTAGTGTATAGTGGAAAGCAAAGTTACAGCGCTACGTTGTTAAGCGATTCAATCTTGGAGACTCAATTCAATTAATTGTCAAGCGAATTAAAATGATGAACTATGGTTTAAATTGCTCAATATTTGTTATTATTACTCTAATGTTGGAAAATATAAGAATTTGATCGAATACGACATTAAAAAATGAGGTTTGCGTAAAATGTATTAACCTACATTTAGTTCAAATTAAGAAACTTTCACGTATGAAATTTAATTTTTTTACATGTATTTGTTTTTTTCTCTTTAATTTTAGCAATATTATATTCCAATTATCTTTTTTTTTTTGATTACAGTAGTTTTAGTGTACAAACCATTAGAGAACTTATAAAAAGTATTATTTGCCAAACTGCATTCACATATCAATTAAATACTGTTTTTTTTTTTTTTTGCCTAACTAATTTAGTTACCAGTTTCAATTTCAATACATGCGATAATTCATTGAGAACGACTATAAGTTATAAAATTGCCTTTCGCTTTTAATTATATCAATACACGTTCCAGTCAGGGTTAAAACGACATAGTAAAGTAAATTCTGGTCATCCAAAATATCGTTTTTGATCTATCTAAATTAAATAATATATTTAGCATTAAATAACTAATAAAATTTGTTTATTTTACTGATCGCAATAATCATGCATCAGGAATGACACTTTGGATGACCGGAATTTACATGTGTCATTTTAGCACTTGTTCCAGTAGTCTATTTTACTTTAATATAATTTTATTAATTACATAGCTCAACATAATCGAATTTTATTATTTCATGGAACTAATAACGATATTTCAATCAATGCACTCGATAATTGACAAATATTGACATCATACTTTTACATTACGATAATCGGCATTCGGTATGAATTTATTATGTAAGCCGAATAAAGAGCAATTAAAACTTAATGTTACTTATTTCAAATCTTCATGCCTAGGACTTTATATTATCGCTGTTTCCGAAATGATTGAAGTTGGCAAATAATTTTTTTTTTTTTGGCGTACATTCGTACACTCATACACCCGTATACTCGATTACGTTGATTTAAGATCGATGCCCAATTTTATGTATTTGTTCTGAACAATTACACATCTGCTAAGGCACATCAGCAAGTACATTTTTACATAGATCTATGCAAAATTTATTGTAAAGTTATATAGAATTTTAATTGAATCTATAAAAACTTTATAAACCCATTGTAGATTTACATAGTTATTTATATAAATTTTACAGGTTTTGACGATCAATTTCGGACACCCTTATCAAGAACGTACCCACCCCAAATAATAAATTCCAATTAACAAATATTTAAGAGTAGGTGCATTCTTGATAGGGGTGTCCGAAATTGATAGTCAAAACCTGTAATATATATATTTATATAGAATTACGTAAAATTGCAAAAAAATTTTGAATTAAATATTGGAGCTAGGATTGGATTTTAAAGTTTAAATTAGGGGTTTGGGAAGGTTTCGAGATGCTGAGCATTTTTACTTAGTACATCGAGCGATGATTACCTTAGTCACTTTTGAGAAATAGCTAAAAGTGGATTAAATTATTTATATGTAGATATAAATAAAATTTATATAATTTTTATGTTTATATAAATATTAAATAAAATTTATATAAATATTATGTTTAATTATATGTAAGAATTCTAACTAAATAAGTCTACATTGGGTTTGTAAGTCTATATAAAAAATTTATATAACATTTATATACTTTGTAGAGCTATATAAATTTTATAAAAATTTTACTTGCTGATGTAATCGAGTGTACGCGTGTACGCTAAAAAAAAAATTTATTTGCCAGTTTCAACAATTTCGAAAACAATGATAATTTTATGTATTAGGTTCAGCTGATTTTTTCCTTTTGATGTAAGCCATTATGACAACTATAAATGGGAAACAACTTATGATCCTGTCAAATCATTTCAACCTGCACCAACCAAAACTATTATTAAATTCACCAAATACTATTAATGAGTAATTGCGAAATTGCGTGGATTATATTATTATCAACTAGGGATGGCAACGGCTGGCTATTGTCGGCTTAGCCGACCGGCTATCTTGTGATATCTCGTGATCCAGTGATCCAAATTAGATGATTTTAGTATCATTCAAGTCGCCTCATTAAGACGAATCGTATGGTACTAAAACCATCCAGTTTGGGTCACTAGTTCACGAGATAGCCGGTCGGCTAAGCCGACAATGGCCAGCCGTTACCCATCCCTATTATCAACAACCGCAATAATTATTAGTTCAAATACTATTATTGAAGTAATTGTGAAATTGCATGATTATATTATTAACATCCGCAATAATTATTGCAATAATTATTGTTTATATGATTAAGAAAAAAATTCAAATAAATACTGATATTTCGCAAGATACTAATCAACAACATATCGATATGCCATGATTAATTCAACAGAAAAAATAACGAAAGTATCCAGGCAAACAAAATGTTATATAACTTTACAAATTGAAATTTAAATACTATTTCAAGAATTTTAAGTTCTTATCTGGGTTTGACATTAACTTTTTGTAAAATTTACTGCATTAGCATTGTAATTAAGGTTATCTTCTTAATTTTTGATAGTATAATTATAAGAGTCAAGTACAATCAATCTCATAACTATGTTGAATTATCCGCTAAACCAAGGGAATACCTTGATCGTAGCCAAATACATTATTAGGATCATATATTTTTTTTACAGCAATTAATGCAGGCAAATTATTGCCGTAATATCTATGCTGCCAATCCGTTAAATCTCGATCTATATAATTCTGATAACAACTATAATCAGTATAATTCGACTGAAAAATTTCACCGAAACTATTTAACTGATTATAACATTGTGTGTTCATCGTATTATCACCATTCAGAGTTGTAAATAATTCAATCGAATGAAATACGTTCCTATGCACGAATGCAGTAGCATTTTCTTCAACTCTAGCTGCCGCACCACCAGCGTATAAATCAAATATTGCATATGTTGGACATGCGGTGGGAAGACCTTTCATAAAATTCACAAGTGATTGAACACCCTCTGCTGAAAGTCCAGAAGATTTTACATAGAAAGACTTTGCCTTAAATTTACTGGGACTATGATATGGATTTATTGTGTCACTTGTTTGTTGAAACCCCCATCTTACAACGCTATCGAAAAAACTTTCCTCTGTAAATTGATTCGAAGTTGGTTGTGAAAGTGAAATAAATTGGCTCATAACTTGCGTCGCACTCGATTGTGATCCTAGATAAACACCTTGAAATTCTACAGAACTTTTTTCTATAACTATCGAGAATGATATATCATCAGGAAGCGTCGGACCAAGTTGTTTAGTTGCATCAAAAAGAGTTTGAATCTTGTTAAGATCATATTTTAATGATATAGATGTGACTTTAGGAAGAGTAGGATAAATTTGAAATGTAAACGAAGTAACTATTCCATAGTTATTAGCCCCAGCTCCACGGAGGGCAAAAAATAAATCCGAATACTCATCGGCAGTTACAGTGATCAGACGTCCGGTAGCATCAACGAGGTCCATAGAAATAATGCTATCTAACGCGAGCCCATATTTTCTTCCAATTTGTCCATATCCCTATAGTTTTTAAAAACATAAAAAAAATGCATCATAAATTTAGTTCGGTCAGAAAAAATCCTTGTCTCGTGATATCAATATCACACGACCATATTGTTGAATAGCTCAGAAATCACAGGACCGATTATTCAACTTTCAATGGATAATATAAGAATAATTACTCACACCACCTAATGCATGTCCAGCTATTCCGACACCTGGGCAAGTTCCAGCTGGAATTAAGAAACCAGCTTGGCTCAAAGCGTAATAAATAGGACCTAATCTATTCCCGGCACCGATAACAGCAGTTTTTGCTGCTGAATCTATGTCAATTTGGTTCAAATTCGTAATATCTACAACTATTGCACCCGCAGTACTATATTTTTCATAGGAATGGCCCCCCGATCTAACTGAAATGCTCATATTAAGTGTACTTGCACAAGACACAGAAAATTGAACATCCGCCACTATGTTAGTATGTATTATCACAGATGGGGTAAACATTATACGAGAATTTGCATCTATTATGTCGCTATTATATTCTGGATCACTTGGATATACTTTTTTGCCTTGTACATTAACAAGACATGATGCAAGATCACGCTTTCTGAGTTTGTTAGCCGACGAAACTTTACAACCAATTATTAGGTAGAATAAAATATAAACGATTAAAACCATTTTTTTATATGTTAGTGTCATAATAGTTGTCAGATTAAATTTTCTTCTTAAGGTAGGTTTGAACGACAAAAATTAGGAGAATCGTTTATATATTCTTTAGAAAAAGTTTTACTGTAGATTCCCAAATATGTAATAAAATATTGTCTGTTTTTATATAAAGTTACGCTACATTGGCGGGGAAACGTCCACATGTCGGTACATCTGTACGCTTTATTTAATTTGTAAATATAGTAATAATCACTATTTACGTAGAACAATTTATCGTGTAAAACGTGTAAATAATGGCGCATGCCGACATTTTTCTATTTCCATTTGTATTTTTAAGCACTATCACTAATTGTTTTATTATTGGGATGGATATGTTATTGATAGAAGTGTGATAAATTATACTGTGCATGCAATATTCACGATATCAACATTCGTAATAATTGCGTTATATCGCAACGCCCATAATATTGTGAAATTATACTTTGAGGATATTGGCTTCGCGCTATTGACATTATAGAAATCATAACAATCAAATTTCACTATTATTGTATGAAAGACTTCTGATTTTTAATTATCATAAATAAAATAATTCCAGGATTATTTTAAATTAATTAATTAAATAAACTTTTGGGCTTGTAAATTTTGGTTCGTCAATTAAATAATCAGTTATTCCGCATGAATAACGTCAAAGTCAGGATTCGTGCCTTTTATTATCGAATCAAATAAAAAATACCCCTTTTAATACGTAGTGCCCACTTGTATTACTCGATCAAATCGTGCATTTCAGCCTAATCACCAAAGTTATTAAATATTTATGTTATCCGGATACTCGCTCAACAATCGGAAACCCGGCTTTGAATCAGACAGTCTGATTTTAAATCAAGCAGATTCTTATCTGGGACACGTTATTCACTCATCTTGAATAAGCGTCGCGTCCCTAGTTTTAACTCGACAGCTAACTATACCAGCCAGGGGTACCGAACATTCAATTGCAATTAAATTATTACACAATTACATTCAATTAAATTGTTACGGACAAACAATTGCAAAACAATTAATTGTGAAATAATTACTATTAATTGCAATTTTTACATGTTAATTTATTTTTTTTAACTATAATTTTGACGCAAGTTATTCTGTGACAAAAATTGCAATTATAGCTGTTTGCATATTGATGCAACCCATGATAAAATTTGTAGATCGCTGCATGCCAATTGTTCGATTGCAATTGATTGT